TTTTCAAGAGCCGTGTCAAGTGGAGAAGTGCAGGAAAAGAGAAAGATTGAGATTGATATTATGGATTTGTTGAAGCTTATTATATTTGTTCTTTTAGTTGGTATTTTTATTGGATTTGTGCTAAGTAGGGTGTGAGAACGTATTATTGGATTTGTTATCAGTTAGTACTTTGTAAATAATAATGTTATCAGTTTGATGTTATTGGATTTGTGCTTATTATAAGTTGAAGCTATTATATTATATATTCTACAGAACTACAGGAGACATGGCAATGCATTATATTATTCTACAGACTACTTGTAGAGTCTTATCCGACCCTTTCCACCAATGGCACATCCTTAAGATCGAGTGCTGATTATCAAGAATACTACTTTTTGTGTATACATTTTCTACTTCATTCATACACATGCATTTTCCTGTGTGAACATACAAGGATTCTCTTGTGTCTGTGTGCGCGCACTGGCATGTGTGCTTGTTGCATTATTCTCATGTAATATAACTTTCTTTAACAGAGTTCTTGGTATCGATATATGATGTACTGGTTCTACTAAGATCATGTTATTTTCAGCTTTCTTCCAGTATATAAGTTTTCACTGGACATCATAGCTTAATTTGTGAAGCCTCAAATTGCTGTCATTTGCAGTAAACTACTGAATATGACAAAATTTTCTGTGAGTCTTCTGTATTTCAAAAGAAATCTCCAAAATATTCCAATTAAATTCTTTGGTTGAACATAAAATAATTTTCAGTGTAAAAGAGCTCAAAGACCAAGATCAGATGACATTGATGGAGTTGGTCGGCTTCCAATGCTGAATGATGCATGTTATATAGATCTTCTTTGCGAGTTTGTTGCCATGTTTTTAATTGCAAATAAGGTGGACAGCATTCACAATTTTGTTAAACATGAACGATAATATAATACATGAACGATAATAACTCACTTAAAAACGACGTTTGGAAATTAGATACAGCACTTAATAGCAAATGATAAACACATATGCAGCACAAATGTATCGACCATAATATAATACATCCAAGAACTCTCACAAATTTGATACATTTTCTTGTCTCAAAACAGAAAAAGTTACAACTCATTGTCCTCCACTTTCAGGCTCCAAATAGTAAGATATAAGCACACACAGCTAAGCTACTTGGATGTTCTCTTTGCTAGTCCCAGTTCTATTCATCATCTTCCTGCATACGACAATAAGGGAACAGCAGAAAAAAATAAGACACGGATCATACGACAATAACCACAAGCTGAAAAAGGAAGCAACTATCACAACTTCTAATGAGTAAGGCAACAGCCAAACTCAGCTGTAACCTCAATAATGTCAAGTTTGGTATAACCTCAATAATGTCAAGTTTGGTATAAGTTTGGTATAAGTTGGGACAGAGAACAAGCTCCCTGGGGGTATGGAATTAATTTATACACAATTGAAGATGCAACCATATGATTTCATATCATATGATTTCATTCTCTCTCTTTCCATCTGTTCTCTCTTTTTTTACAGAAAAGTAACAGTTACTAGAATACGGCAATATAATTGTACCAAGGCAATAAATTCTGACATACTTACATGACCAAATCCATGCATGTGGAGTTTGAAGAATCCAGACATATTTTCGTTTAGCTGCAAATCACATGACAAATTAATCATATAATTGTACCAAGGCAAAAATTATTAAGAGGTGAACTTTCATGAAAAACCTTTGCAAGTTAACTTTACAGCTAGTTCTATAATGCCCGAGCTCACCACATCTGCTACATATACGTTTCTTCCTTTCTTTCTTTTCTTGTGCTTGTTCTAAACCTGACTGGATTCTATTTGCATTGCGTGGACGACCTTTAGTCCTTGCAGCTCTATCAGGATCACGAACTGTAATCTGAGGAATGTGCTTTGTATTTGAGATGTGTGCGGATATTTGAGTGTCCACCATTTGATCTTGATTTGAGGAATGTGCTCCAACTTCTTCTTGCAGTGGTTCTATAAATTTTGTTAGCACATCATCTAGATTTTGCATCTTCTCTTCTGAAGCAAATGCAAGCTCGAGCGCATTATTGAATTTTGCTCTTAAGGCCCAAGATTTCAATAAATTAATCTTCTCTTCACAACTTGTGATGTTTCTTCCATATATAATGTTGCCAACCCCAATGTTACGATGTCGAGCATGTATAGTCCAACGGTGAAGGATGTAATGGTCGGGTAATGAATCCATTTGCCTAGCCATCATTAGCGATAATATATGTCTACATACAACACCATTAGTTTCAAACAAAGCACAAGTGCAACGGAACTGCATCTGACTAGATTGCTCATAAGTAACCACCTCCCATTTTCCTCTATCTGTAAACTTACAGACTTTGTATTCAACAATGTCTCCATCTTTTCTCAATTCTTCACAAAACTCTGTACCAAATCCTTTTCTCAATTCTTCACAGAACTCTGTACCAAATCCTTTGAATTCAGTATGGAACACATCAAACATATTGCGTGTATACATTTCTCCAGCTTGGATCTCAATTGGATGTCCAAGGAGCATAACCGGCTTTGTGTTCAGACTCTTAAAATCTTCATGGGCTTCACTTAAGCGACGATGAGTTACTGCTTTTTCATATTGTGTCACAAAGTCGTGTAATTGAGTCTGTGAGTTAACATACCCATCAAAAAATGCATTAATACTTTCACTCCTTTGGCTCGATCTCATTCCAGCAAAAAAAGTGTCCTTCAGATAACACGGCACCCAGTGATCTCGGCATTTGTAAATTGTTTGCAACCATCCCTCACCTTCTTCATTTATATCAAACTTCTCTTTCATCTCAACCCAATATCCTTCACATTGAAATAACCACACAAATGTATCTTCTTGTTCATCGGCTAATAATGCACAACCAAGTAAAGTGGACTGTCTATGGTGATTTACACCAGTAAATGGAGCAAATGGAAGACTGAACTTATTAGTTCTGTATGTCACATCAAACACAATAACATCACTGAATTTCAAATAAGATGCTCTTGATCTTCCATCGGCCCAGAAAACACTCCTCATTTGTCCACTACTGTCTACTTCTATTACAAAGTAAAATTCTGGATCATTCGCTGTCGCACTCTGAAAATATCGAATGATAGATATGCATTCATGGCCAATATTATTGACTCTTTGGGTTCTGATATGATCAATGCATTGTTGTGATGTCACTAATTCACCTTCTCTTCCATTAGTTGCATTGATGACGTGAGAAATAGTGGAAGGAGGCATACCTTCTTCACGCAGGCTATCAATAAGTTTTTTACATCTTTGGGTTTTATGAAATTGTTGATGTGATCTGTGCATTTTTGCTTTGTCTGGACTACTCAACACATGATTTGTATGTTCTTCAATAAACCCTGCTCGCATCATTGCTTTACATCCCACCCGGGTCTCTCGCCGAAGATGAATCTCCATCTTGTCTTTATTAGATTTATAGCCCTCCTTATCACAAACAAACTTTCTGTCTACCACTTCTCTAGTCTTGCGAGAGTAATTTACCATGCTCTTCCTTATTCCAAAACCCATCAACAATGCATATGAGTTATAATAGTTATAAGCTTCTTCATAACTATTAAACTTCATTCCCATAAGTGGTTTAGGAGCACTTACACTAGTTGAATTTGTTTCCTCCATTCTGAACTCTACACTGGTTAAATTTGTTTCCTGCATTCCGAACTCCTATAAAGAAGAAAACCAATTCCAAACATTATGTTCAATGTTGCTTCAAAACTAAGGATGTAATGGTGAAAAATTAAAGATTGATACAGAAAATATTGGTCATGATCATAATTATATATATATATATATATGTCAAACAATCCAAATCTACATAGATAACCAAAAATAGCATTAATTACACAAGAATAATGTTATATGTTAATTACATCTTTCATGCTTTACTTTCTGTCTTCACAGCCAGCAGTTAACAGAAAATATTGGTAGTTTCTGTAATATTGGTAGTTTCTGTAATCTATATTATCAAGATTTGACTTCATTTACATCCTTAATATTTCAATCATGATTCCTAAAACATTTTCCACAATTTACTACTTGCATCATTTCCTTGAAAACAGTTTCAGCGCCACTCTTCCTAAAACATTTTCCACTCCTAAAACATTTCCACTCCACAAAAGGCAAACAATTCTGAATTCTATAAATGGAGATTCTTGTTATACAGAGATAAACATGTCTAACACCTCTGAGCTACTGTATAAATTAGCTTGATATCTCTGATTCACAAGTTAGAAATTCGAATGAAATATTCAATGCATACAAATTCGAATGAAATATTCAATCCACAAGTTAGGGTTTTTACCTGCGTCGGCGTCGAGAGAGAGAGAGAGGAGGAAGCGTCTTCGACGGGGCTTCGGCGTCGAAGACTCGAGAACTCGTGAGCGGATTTGGGGAAGCGGCGGCTCTGTTGCAGGAGAAGGCTCGAGATCTCGTGAGCGGATTTATACCTCCTCAGTGCCAAAGTTTCACACAGAACCCTGTAGTCACTGGTGGCTGCCTTTTGCTCGAGAGAGGGAAGGGGGGGCTGGTGGTGGCGCACACAAAAAGGGGGGCTGGAGGCACTCAAAAGGCGGCGGCTCAGAGGGGACTCGCGGTGGCTTCGATTTGGGGTGAGGACGAACGGATCTCGCGGCGGCGACGAAATGGGCGAGGACGGGACCGATCTCGCTCAGAGCTGGTCAGAGGGGTCGCGGCGGGGATCTCCTCTCTCGCGGCGGCCACGAAATGGGAAGTCACGAGTTGATATTTTGGGGGAGAGAGAGAGCGGTCACGGGGTAATAAATTTCAGGAGAGAGAATGCTCACGAACAACGAGTTCACGGAGGAAAAAGTGACTTTTTTTGCAATAAAGCCCCTGCAGCGCACAGAGACGGTGAACTGGCAGCTTACCTACAGTTTTCTCTCTCTCTCTCTCTCTCTCTATATATATATATATATATATATATATATATATAT